CCTGAGTACTCACATGAGTAACTGAGTACTCACTGAGTAACAATACTCAGAAATTGTTAGTAGTACCAATATGAGTACTCATGGACGAATTATGAGTGAAGTCGTACTCATCGTATGAGTACTTTCACTAGGGTAGGATGTACTTAATCGCTGACGTTTTAAATGACTGCAGTTACGATTTTTTTTTAGTATAGCTACTCGAGAGGACTCGTTCTCTGCTATTCAAGTCTTAAAAAGATCTAATGCTGATGAACGATTTGTGAAGGATATCAGCCTCGAATACCAATATTTTGCTAGCAAAATACGAGTTATCGAATTATCAAACTGAGTAAAATTCAGCGACAAAAGGTAATTTTCTGAAATTTCAGACCAAGACTTGACTATCACGACTGGTAGGTCTCTAAAGAGAAAATCTAACTCCGATGTGTGAACGATGGGAATTGCGCCCATTAACAACGCTTCCCATGTACGATGACAATCAAGCCCATTACCTTGTGGACTCAAAACAAATTTGGAATTTCCTACATCATCTAAATAGGTTGAAAATGAAATTTTTTGTTGAACGATATGAGCTTTTTGAATAGTTTTCGCGTGATTTAACACATTTGTACGTTCGCCAGCATTTGTATCTATCTTAAAATTCACGTATAACAGAATCTGACGATTAGCGAATGAACGCCTCTGATTATAAAATGCAAATGTCAATGTGTTCAAATTTCCTTGTGGCCATCTTGTATTTGCTAATCCAATGGGTATTGGATATAATTTTGAATGTTGAGTATCCGGATTTTGAGCAAACCATGCCAGTAGTCTCGAGTCGTTAAGGTATGATTTATAGTTAGTTGGTGCTGAATAATCACTGTTATGTGTAATAAGTACAAATGAACAATTAATCGTGTTGAAAAGTGAAAAAAACTGTTGGAACATATCGGCTTTTAGAAATACAATGGTTCCATCAGTCATATTTTCAATAGTATTTGCCCATGTGGCGACAGTTGTTGTTTCATCGAAAATATGATCGGCAAATGCTCGAAATGTATCGCCACTTATGAACGGATATGAAGTATTTCTATGGTCGGTGGCATGTCGATAAAATAGTGCCAAACTTTTATTCCTCGTGTCATTTAGTAAAACATTCCACAGTGAAGAATTTTGTCGTATTAATAGCGATAATGAGACGTTTGTCGAACGATGTGTTGTTGTATCATTGATAGTGTCATTCAAAACGTAGACACGTACTTGGCCATCATTAAGATAATTAGCTACTTTTTCAATTTCTATCGATTGTTTAATACACAGAATGTAAACAGCAATGGCAGCAGAGATCAATAGCAGTTTTCTGGAAATACATTCGATTTTAATAGAATGACTGAAGAACGGAAAGGAGACTATGGATATTTTTCTCGTTTCGTGCTGCATATATTCTAAAAATAAACTGACTCAATTTTACAAATCTATCTTAAGAGTAATTTTCTTGAAATATCAAAAAAAAGTATGAGTTTTTGTTCATCTTAAAAACAATCTCTTTTAAATGTGTTTTGTCGATTTACGATTAGATAATACACCTTATTTATACATCTTAACTAAAATCTGCTTGTCAGAGCTACTTACACAGATGTAATTGATTATTTCTTTTTTAGCATAAATTCAAGTTTCGAATGCAATCGTTATTTTTTATTTCTGTGCTGCATAGTTTACATATAAGAGACCATATATTTATACATGTATTGACGTAAAATTTTTTCTCTTCAAGCTTATAATATAATTATACATATCTAAAAAAATGTGCGTTTATGTTTGTTTGTAAAATGTTCTTTTCAGAATCTATTGGAAAAAAAGTTAAAAAAGAACAGTGAATAGTAACAACCGTCACATGACAACATTTCTAACTCTTTTAAATAAAATAATATAAGGATATGAATTTTTATGATTATCAAACATTTTCAGATACTAATCATCACCTATGTACGACTAGTACCGTTAAGGTTATTTATTTTACAACCAAAATAAAATATAATATATAAGATATGTACATTACGAAGACGTATTAACAAATAACATGTGAAACTCCTCAAAATGTAATTATGTTATTGTAGGTGGTTAGAACTTATTATGAATATATAGAATTATAGAAGCAATATCTCATCTATAGCATTGAACTAGTGTCTTGAAACCCAAAAAAAATATTGAACAATGGTTGCTATGGTAATCCGCATCAATCTACATTCATTGCTGAGATAAAAAGTCGCGAAAAAGCCTTAGTGGCTACATATAAACTTCAACTCCTCTCTATGTTGGAGTTGTTGAGAGAAATTTCACAACAAAGCTTTACTACCTTTCTTTGGACGTTTTTTATCTTTCTATTTCTCTAGGTAAGAACAAAAATGTTTACATATTTTCTCGTAGTAAATATTCACCATATAGATCGATAGAGAAATATGTGGCGGATATTTACTACTACTAATATGTAAACATTTTTGTTCTTTCCTTCCTGTTATTGACTAATTAGCATTTATTAACGTTATTTTAGCCTACTCTACTAGCTTACAGTCCCATTTGCAAAATGAAGACTCAACAAAAGAATTTAAGCAATACCTCACCTGATAGAGAACTTCACGGACTACAAGACTGACTAGCTTAAGAGTGTTAGAATCCAATTCATTCATTAGAACTATTTTATAACAGCCGCGTGCTGAAAACTTTGGCAACATTTTTTTGAGTAATTCATTTTTTTCTCAGCCAAACAATGTCAGTAAGCCGAAAAAACTTCAGAACATATACTTCGTGTCCTCTACAAACTGGGAAAAGTTAACAAAAAAATTTAAAACTAAAAAATTCCTCTAATTTTTGGCCAGACGAAAATATTTTCACAACACCTTGAACCAAATTTCACTCGAAGGAAAAATTTTCAGGAAAAACTGTGGGCACGAAAGTTGTTCAGAATCAGATTCCCTGGAATATGAACAAAGAAGTTTGAAAAATTCGTTAAACTGGACTTTTAAATTAAATTTTAATAAAATTTAAAAATTTTAAAAATCGTATTTTTCCATTTTTTAAAAATCGAGTTTAATGAATTCTGAAGAAAAATTTAAACAACTCTCATATTCGAATTCTGAACAACTTTCGTACCCGCACTTTTCCTTGAAAATGCTTCCTTCGAGCGAAATTTGGTTCAAGGTATTTTTAAAAATACTCCTTGCTCCAAAATGCCATCGGGCAGGTCAAAGCGGAATAACTCAGTCAAAGCTTGACCAAATTTTTTGTAGATACATCTTGATGTCCTCCATTGATTGACATCAAAACCAAGGTTATATATAGAAATCTGAAAATTTTATTAAACTTTTAAAAATAGAGCAAAAAACCGAGACTAAACTTACAAAGTTATTTTCTCAAAAACTATACAGTGGCCCGAAAAATTGATCATACAGATGTAATTTCGATTTATTTCCGTAATGGTAACCAGTATAAAGAATTCAAATAGTGATTTAGATAGAGAAAATTGTTTCCAACAAATATTTGAGGAAAATAAAATTCTCGCTATATTTTCATTGGCTTTCTTCCAAGTTTCAGTATATATCGGTCATGATTGCAAAATAAAAGGGTGAATAAAACAGGCATTTTAAATGTCAGTTTTTTCACTGTATATTTTGCAATTGAAGAATGACCTGGTAATAGTTATTTAACTGTGACAGTTATTTTACATTTTAGGATGCACAGTTAAATGCCTGTTTTTTGCCAAAATAAATAGCCAGAAAATTTACAGTAAACAGTGACTGTTAATTGCTTTTTTTCAACAGTTTGTGATATGTTCAGAGGGAGGTCTCTTCATTCGGTTTTTCCTATCAGTTTGTAGAGGACACTTTGAAGTATATATTTCAATACTTTTTCGGGTACCGGACCTACAGTGATCCGAAAAATTGATCATACAGATGTAATTTCGATTTATTTCCGTAATGGTAACCAGTATAAAGAATTCAAATAGTGATTTAGATAGAGAAAATTGTTTCCAACAAATATTTGAGGAAAATAAAATTCTCGCTATATTTTCAAATCCAGGGTCTCCAGAAAACCAAAAAGCTAGGTTTTCAGCATCCAGAACACGATGATAAAAGTTTATTTTAATCGGATAGCGTGATAGAGCAGCTAATTCTCTACAAAATAAGACGCCTCCGAGCTCTCTACGACGCTTTTTGACTGAGCTACATCAATTTTACGAGAGGCCCTAAAATGTTTTTTTCACAGGAAATGGCGAAATGTGCATCCTAAAATGTAAAATAACTGTCACAGTTAAATAACTATTACCAGGTCATTCTTCAACTGCAAAATATACAGTGAAAAAACTGACATTTAAAATGCCTGTTTTATTCACCCTTTTATTTTGCAATCATGACCGATATATACTGAAACTTGGAAGAAATTTGCAAAATTTTCTCCTCCTCGATTGTACAAGTCATTGAAACTTGTCTAGTGAAAGTCGTCGCTGATTCTGGATCTGGTGCCATTGATGGCACCGTGGATCAAAGAATCAAAAATTTTGGAAATCACTGTATTTGGGGTACTAATCAAAAAAATTAATCAAAGAAAACGCTCGATAATTGACAGTTAACAGTCAGTAATGGCGTAAAAACGGCCATTACATGATGCTGTTGACTGCCTGTTTTTAGACAGTTTTCAGCTTATTAAAGAATGTCATTTTAAGGCATTAAAACGTTCCCATTTATAAGGTGTCAAAATGACCATTTAATCATTATTTCATTAGCTGTTAACTGGCATTTAATAGACAATTAATTACATCGTTTTCGACATCCTGGACCGCTAATTCCTTGCGTACTAACATGTAACAACAGCCTACATCTATAAAGATAAAACTGCAATTTTCGAAACATCTTTTTTTTCCCACAATCATTCGCCAATAGAAGGTACTAAATAATAGTTCTCCACAAATATATTTGTATCGTAAGCCGAAACAAATGACTGATCGACATGTTGGGGAAACTTTAGCAAGTTTTTGATGAATTTCATTTATTGTAAGTTATGGAAACAGTACGAGAAAATAAAAAGTGGACGAAGAACGATGGTAAATGAAGAAGTAGTAGAAATGGAAATCCATTATAAATAACAGAGCAACAGCACTATTGTTGCGGCCGGTCGTAACAATGATGTTATTGCTCTACTATCTACATTGAAAGGAAAACAGGAAAGAATAAAAGCGAGGTAGGATCTCATTACATAGGCCACATACTTATATAAAAGAAATACTCAATATCGTGTGACTGATATGAAGTCAATTAGTGTGGCAGATGTGTTAAATAATGAATTTCTATGTGTAATATGGTTGCCGCACTACCCCAATTACCCCAGCGAGACACACTGACTGTCCATAATTACCCCAAACCCAAATGGGGTAATTCTGGACAGTTGATAGGAGCTCTCTGGAAATTGATGAGTACTAATTAATCTTATTGAACTTTAACAAGATTTTTACACTAGTAGATAGAAATGTTCGGTCTATCTACCTGCGAAGTGTCGTTTTTTCCCGAGTAAAAATGCTTTAGGTACGCTCAAAATACTGTGAAAATTCGAGAGGCTGTCCAGAATTACCCCAACTTACTCTATATTACGACGACAAAGTGATAACCAAACTTGAAAAACTGACCCATTTTACCTGCAACAATCGTTTCCATTTTTCCAGTAGAGCAAGTTGTAGACACACTATAAAAATGATTTTAAGTTATCTGATGCGAATAATAATTTGTTCTCTGTTTACGTACTATAATGACGGCAGTAAATAATAAAAAGTAAGAATAAAAATTCCAAGAAAAATGACTACAAGAATATTTAGTGACAAAAGATGCAGGCCAATGTTCCAGCCGTAAATTAAATCTCAGATATACTTCGACATATTTTAAATACGTCTAGTCCATGAATACAGGCGACTTTTTGTTTTTATCTATAACAGTTGTCGAAGAAATACAAGATAAAGAAAACTATTTTTATTGTTCTCTATTTTTACTCACAACAGAACTACAATCACCAAGAACAACTCGCTTCTTTTCTAACATCTTCCATATACGAAAAAACGTTTTCAATACAAGGACCTATCTAAAACATCATGGCATAGAAGTTCATCAGAAAAGAGAAAATATTTCAGGTCAAAATCTTCTCTATGTATGTAACGTCAGATCTTGATGTGGCATCTTCATTCCTTCTTCTTCTTGAAAATGAAGAAGACTGAAATGAATTCATTCCAATAGAGTTTTCTCTTTTAGCGTATCTTTATGTTTTTCTTGATGTCGCATGTAGATATGTGTATGTCAGACATGAGGATACATATAGAAAAGAAAAGGGGATCTATATGCGACATCAAGAAAAAGATCAGGATACGCTAAAAGAGAAAACTCTAATCACACATCCCAGTA